AAGTCATCTTCAAATTCAAATTCAAAATCATTTCAAAACTTTCTTCAATTTCTCAAAACCCTAATTCAATCTTAAATAAAAAATTTAATCAATCACAATACACTTGGGCCTCTATCTAGAGTGTAAGACCCACCATCTTTTCAAATTTAATTCATACTTGTTTATATACTTGTTCATATATATATATATATATATATATATATATATATATATATATATATATATATATATATATATATATATATATATATATATATATATATATATATATATATATATATATATATATATATATATATATATATATATATATATATATATATATATATATATATATATATATATATATATATATATATATATATATATATATATATATATATATATATATATATATACTTGTGCATATCTTGTTAAGTTTCCCTTATCATTTAGATCATCCTTAGTTTATAGTAGTTCAAACAACATGATCCTTTCAATCATTGTAACCTAGTTCAAACTAGGGATGACAAAAAAATTCGTACCCGCGGATAAAATCTGTCACGGATATGGGACAAATAACTTAATGGATATCCACGGATAAAATAAATGGATATTTAAATTCTTGTCTGTTATGGATATGGATACGAGTTTAATGATATCTGTACCTACAGATATTCATATCCATTAGTAAATTATAAAAACCATTTAAGTATCATTAGTTTATTATACCTTATCTTTTCATCTTCTAAAAAAGTTAGTTTTCTTATATTTCTTTCTTTTTTTGAAATTTTCTTTGAAGAAAACCTTTCAAATTTCATTCAAATTCTATTAGCCATTTCATATTTAAACTCTTCAATACTTCATACCTCACTTCAATAATTTTACATTTAAACCAATGTGATGTCATTCCTTTGTCGAACCAGTGCCTTACTTCCCCCTCCTCTGTCGTCCGCTCTTTCATCATAACTCACAATCACAATATTTTTTATTTGTTTGGTTAAAAATGAAATGTATGGATATTATGTTTGGATCTAATTATATTTTGGTAAATAAGAAGAAAATCAATGCGACGAAATTTTATTGTTAAATTAAGAATGAATTATATGAATGTTATGTGGTAATAACTTTTTGTATCTTTAAAAGAAGTTAAAAATATTTTTTATAAAAAAAAATATTATTCATGGATATTTGTAAATATTCGCGGATACCGTAAAATCCGCGGATTACCCGCTTAACGGATAGCCGCATGGAGATGGGGTAGATATGGATGTCATATTTATCCAACGGGACGAATACGGATATCATAGTATCCTTTTCCATGGATATCCATATACATCCCTAGTTCAAACAACTAGTTCCCTCTTGTACAAATGAGTTTTTCTCCCCAACACAGTTAGCCTCCTCTTAGGCCTTGTTCAATTTACTTAACCTTGAAATACTTCATTAAAGATATGATTATTTCCCAGTGAAACCTCTTCTTTTAACCCTAGAACAGTTCAACAAAGAAAGAATTATTTCTTGGTGAAACCTTTCTTGAACTCTTATTAGACTTGGAAAGTCTCAATCCCCAGCCTCCTCTTGGGCTTCATACAAGAACCCACAGGCTTGCTAAAAGCATAGGATAGATCTTAGTCAACTTTATCAATACACAAAATTCCAGGAGAGTCAAAACCTCTAAAACATTAAATCTCATCCTTTAAGCCTTTTCTAATCCTCAACAAAGGTTGGCTTTCACTTAACAATCTCCAGCCATGTTCAATTTACAATCAACAAATCCCCAGAAGAATTAAAGCCCTTATGGTATTTAAATTCTCTTTTAATCTTCAGCAAGAGTTAGTTTTCACTTAAATTCCCCGAGCCTCCTCTCAGGCTTCATATAATGATTTCCCCAATCAGCCTCAATCTTGGGCTTTGTACAAGACATATATAACACTCCCCAGTTGAGTCAGTTTTCATCTTTTTAGCTTCAACTTTGGGCTTTGATCAAGACACGAAATTTAACATCCCCATAGATGATATTATGAGTCCTCTCTGTAGGAGGATATCCCTTCTATACATCACATTTCAAATCAAATCAAAACATTCAAGTCAAACTATTTTACATAAAGGAGGATGTGGCATTACTCTAGATATTTCAAATTCCAAGTTAAAAGCTTCTTCCCTTATGTTAAAAATCATAAATTAAGGATGATGTGGTATTGCTCTGGATATTTTAAAATCCAAGTTAAAAGCTCCTTCTGTTATGTCAAAACTCATGAAGAAAGATGCGGCATTGCTCTGGATATTTCAAAGTCCAAGTTCAAAGCTTCTCCCTTCATGACATTTCACTTCTCCTATAAAGGAAGATGTGTCGTTGCTGGATTTTACACATCCCAGTTAAAGCAGCTTCTCTTATAATCATTTCTTCAATGTTTGTGATGAATAAGTGAAATATCTCCCTTTAAAAATGATAAATTCTCTCTCAGTCAAACTTTTAACTTCAATCTTGGGTTTCGAACAAGACACAAATACACTTTTAGCTTCAATCTTGGGATTTGAACAAGACACAAATACTCTTTTAGCTTCAATCTTGTGCTTTGAACAAGACACAAAACAATTTCCTCCCATAAATTTAGGAGAAACTACGAACGCTCTGATTTCTCAATTTCCTTTTTAAGAATACGTAGGTATAAGATTGTGAAATCTTAGCGAGCACACTAATAAAAAATAAAAACCTTTAGGTCTAGGTGCCTAACAAAAACAATAGAAAACCATAAAATAACAAAAACATTTCCTCGGTTCTCACAAAGGAGAAACTTTCCTATTCAAACAGCAAAACAAACCTAAGCATGCAAGTAATTCAACAGTAAAAATATACAATAAAGGTTTCTATAGAGTACTATAGATACTCTACTATAAATACTCAGGGTGTTAATAGTTTTCTTTAGTATAACCAACCCCCGATTCCAAATCTCTTAGCATTTGTAAGAAAAACATTTGCGAGCAGGGTTAGTTTGAGATATCTTCCCCTCCCTTTTAAGCATCATAGGATAAATATTATAAATCAGAAAATAGCGTTAAATGCGATAGTGGCCGCGTCATTAACACCGGAGCTACATCCTGGTTTTGGTGACTGCTTGTGGTCCCAAACTTTACAGATGTATCTATGATTTTGGAATCACGTTTTTCATTTGAAATTTGCTGGTTATTTTGTGTATGTAACTGTTATGGGTGTATGTATGGCAGGGCATATGGTTTTGTTGAGTTCTTTTTTTGAATTCGTTTTTACTTCCATGTATGTATGTATGCATCATTGCATTGTGTATGTGTGGTGAAAATTGCATTCACATTGTCATTGCTGAGTTATTTACCTGAGTTTATATATTTACCATTTCTATGTATGTATGTGTAAGTATGTATCTTGTATTGATGATGTACACTTGATTTTTGCTAAATTGTTGCTTCTCTTACTCTGCAGAATGTTGATGGATGATGTGAATAATAGATTTACATGATGATGAGGAATACACGAGGAGGAGCATGTAATCAAGCTGGGAATTTTCTCTTTGGTATTTAATATCTGTTTCTGTAAGACGTAAATAGAACAACAACTATTTAACAAAATTCTTTCCTTTGCAAGTTTATGTAAATAAAATAATTTCTTCCTAATTCCTATTTTTGTCTTTATAAAGTACATGAAATAAACAAGGAAGTGTAGCTGAAAAATAACCTATAATGTGGATCTGAAAACAAAATGAAAAATAATGACCCAAACTATGACAACAAAAAGCAAAAATAATAACAACATGCGCTCTTATCTTATTTTCAAAGTTTCTAACTTAAAATCTGATCATTAATGAACAAACTAAAAAAAAGATAGAAGTAAAATAAAAAGATGCATGTAATATCCAAAGAAAATCAATGGTCTGACATTCCTAAAAAATAAACCAATGGATGATGCAGAGGAAAGCTTATTGAGATAATGTGAAAAGAGATGAAGGTGTTGTTCAAGAATCACAAACCCTTGACTTCAATGAACTTGTGCAGATGAGCTATTGGCTGATGAAAAAGATGAGCTATATATATATGAGTTAAACATAGCCTATAGACATAATTCTATAAAATAATACTTAACACTTTTTATATGAGTTAAACATAGCCTATATACATGATTATTTAATGTATCTGTTTGAAGAAAATTAAATTAAATTTAGACAATCTAGATCAACTTATAATAATAGATATCCATGGTATTAAGATATGTAAGAATGCTCCCACCATATGTAAGAATGCTCCCACCATATCTCATTTACTCTTTGCAGATGATTATTTTCTCTTTTCTAAAGCTATTTTAGGTGAAGCCACTTAGATGAAGAACATACAATCCACATACAAAGAAGCTTTTGATCAAGCTATCAACCTGCAAAAATCAGAGTTCTTCTATAGCAGGAATGTATTTTCGGCAATCAATAATTCTTTGACTGATACATTAGGGGTCCAGCAGGTTTTGGGAACAAATAAGACTAAATATCCTTTTTGGTCCCTTAACTATACCCTTAGGTTCAGATTGGTCCCTTAATTATTTTTTGTATCAGATTGGTCCCTTGACTCTTTAAAACGTGTCATATTGGTCATTTTCATCTAATTAGCAACGAAAAAAAATTCAAAACTCTGTCGCTAAATCCGTTGCTAATTATATAAAAAGGACCAATATGACACGTTTTAAATAGTTAAGGGACCAATCAGACACAAAAAATAATTAAAGGACCAATGTGAACTTAAGGATAAAGTTAAGGGACCAAAAAGGGTATTTTGCCAAAATTAAATATCTCGGGGTTTCGTCCATGATCGACAGAAGTAAGAAAGCAACTTTCAAGTATATCAAAGATAGAATCTGAAAAAAGATTAACTCTTGAAACAACAAAAGCCTTTCTCAAGCGGGTAGAGAAATCCTCATCAAATCAGTTCTTCAAGTTATCCCTTCTTGCATCATGAGTATTTTTCTCTTGCCTTCATGTTTAGTGATGAAATTGAAAAAAATGATGAACTCTTTCTGGTGGGGGCGTAACCTTGATAATTCCAAATGTATGAATTGGCTATCTTGGGATCACTTGTCTATGGATAAAAAATATGGAGGTATGGGTTTCAAAAACCTCAGTGCTTTTAACTATGCAATGGTTGGCAAAGAAACGTGGAATCTCATGTCGAAGCCAAATAATCGTGTATCCAGACTTTATAAAGCTCGTTACTTCCCTAATAGTGACTTTCTTGATTCCGTATTAGGCCACAATCCCAGTTACGTGTGGAGAAGTATTTGGAGTTCTAAATTTGTGGTTCGTGGAAGTTACAAATGGAGCATAGGCTCCAGCGAGAGCATTTCGATTTGGAACCAAAATTGGTTGCACGATCGTACCTCCCTAACTAATCCATGGTCGCATATTCCTGATGTATCCAATATGAAAGTGGTGGATTTAATAAGCAATCATGGTAAGCAGTGGAATTCCGATCTGATTGTTCCTTTGGTCGGTGAAGAAGTAGCAAATAAAATTCTCAATACCGCGCTTTCCGAAATGGTCCAGGTCGACAAAATGGTACGAAATTTTGAAAGGGGCGGTAATTACTCAATGCGTAGTGCTTATCGTTTCTGTATAAATGAAGCCATTGATACATCCCATCTCAGAATAGATGGAAATTGGGACTTAATTTGGAAGTTAAAAACACTGCCAAGAATGAAGAATTTTCTCTAGAGATTTTGTAGGAATTGTATTCCTACTAGAATACACCTTAATAATAAAGGTGTAGGTTGTCCTATTATTTATGGCGTATGTGGTGTATGTCGAGGAGGAGAGTAATGAACATGTATTCTTGCAGTGTCCTAAAAGCAAGGATTGTTGGGAGAAAGTCGGATTTTGGGTTGTTACAACAACAACATAATATTCTTGTATTGTTGGTTGCTGTTGTTTTTTTTTCTTTTTTACAGGTTTCTAGTCAGGACCAATAGGTGAGCTTCGGTACTACTTTGTGGAGCTTATGGAAAAGCAGAAATAGCCAGTTTGAAACCAAGTTGTGGATTCTCATGATACCATATGTAGTCGTGCTACACGTCTTCTTCAAGGTTGGAGGAATGCCCAACAGTTGAAGGAAAACAACACATATCATTCTCAAGTTTTGTCTGAATCTAAGTGGAGTAAATCAGCGGTGGGCCGCCTTAAGTACAACATTGATGCTTCTTTTTCTAATAACAAGGTTGGTATAGCCGCTTACATCAGAAATGATACAGGTTCCTTTATTTCAGCCCGTATGGAATAGTTCTCTCCTATCACGGAGGTTGCGACGACGGAGGCTCTAAGATTGTTAGCCTCTATAAAATGAGTGTATGTTCTTGGTTATGACAACGTTGATTTTGAGATGGATGCAAAAATCGTCGTCCATAGTGTGCATAGTTAACATCCTAATCACAAAAATTTTGGCTCTATCACACGGGAATGTAACCGATTGTTAACTCACTTATTTTTGAACTCTCATATTAAATTTGTTAGAAGATAAGTCAATGAAATTATTCATGCTCTGGCACATATCACTCCATTTTATGTTAGTTTTCACATTTTTACTGATATTTTTAACATGTATCTAAACACTTATTATTAATAAAATAATTTAAGCTTTCTCTTGTAAAAAAATTAAAAAAAAAAAGAAGATATTTTCTTACTATTACTCGGCTTATGTAGCAACAACAACAACCCCCGTGTAATGTTTTCTTTTGTGCTAACCTTTTCATAAAAAACTTATCAATATTAAGTAGATTTAAAAATGAAATAACATTTTTACTTTGAGATGACATGAGACGATAATTATTTTGCACATGCGATCAACATCCACATAAACAAAATTTAACAATAAAACTAAAAGATTATAAAGAAGAGGATATTAAAACATGGATTGCATGTAATTTCTCTTTTGCCATGTTACAATTGATGCTATCATGAAATTTCATTTCGTTCACCTCAAATAAGGTCTTTTCACGTTTTATTTATTGCCAAATACTTTACTGTGAAACCCACACCCAAATTCCCCTGTCTAGTGAAGATACACACTTGCATGAGAAGGGACCAACTTACACGATCTAGCGAAACGTCGTACAATTTTGTTCTGTCATTTGGATCATATGTGTGCTTCTTGGTACAGATAGAAAATCATCTTACTAATAACAGCAATTTTATCTCAATGTTGGATTGCAAAAGTAGAAGTGCTCTAATAAGTGGTGTATACCTGGTCAATTCAAGCATGTATACATAGGCATAGAAGAATTCAATCGTAAGGAGGACAAACGTATTTATTATTATCAGCTACATTGGTCCCAATATGTAGGTTTTATTTGATGAATGCATAAAAATGACTAATAAAATAATTAGGACTTTATGAATTTTGTTGTCTTTTCCTCCAACTTCATGGGACTTAAAGATTCATAAAGTGATAATCTATAAATAGGTGTGTCATTACTGCTGCCTAGGTACTAGTTTATTGGCGGTTATGTAGTCTCAAAAATTCTTTGAACTTTATCTGAATGGAAAAAATTCAATTTTAAAATTAATCGAATTATTCTTGATAAATAAGAATCAATTTTTTCGATTGATCTCGCCTCTTGTTCTTCGCCCTTCACTCAGGTGAAATAACCACTTTTTTGTTACAAGATGATTCTACATGACACAAGAATTGGAAGAAGAAAACAAGATAATTGAAAATGAGAGAAAAAAGAAACTGTGAAGGAAGAAGATGAATGTATTTTTGTGCAAGTTGCAATCTGTTGAGAGTATAATTCAAGTTGTAGCTCAAGTTCAAATTAGTTAGGGTTAGGGTTTGTTATGTTAGTTACTTAGTACTCAATTTACTTAGTTGTACACACACATATTATAATTAAGTTTTATCTCATTCATCAATAATAATAATTCTTATTCTTCATTCTCTCTCTCTCTCTCTCTCTCTCTCTCTCTCTCTCTCTCACACACACACACACACACAGACTCACACACACACACACACACACACATACACACACATACACACACACACACATACACACACATACACACACACACACACATACACACACTAAAAGTGTCTCACACACTAATAAATTGGTATCTAGAACTCCGGTTAGTTTCTTGATCGTGTTTTCAAGAATAACACGTCAGTGATCGTGTTTTAGGGATCGTGGGTTGTTAATCGCGCTTGCTACAAAGATGAATGATAACAATTCCATTTCGAATTCTCTTCCAATTATTGACGACAAGAATTGGATCTGATGGAAAAAACAAATGCAATATTTGTTTGGATTTCATGAAACCCTATAAATTGTTGTTAATGGTGTCCTTGAGCTTGCTGAGAATGCAATTGATGCTCAGAGAGTCGGGAACAATGTGGCCTAGAAGAAAGACTGCAATGATGCGTTTTATATTCAATCAGTGGTAGATGCGATGAAATTTGATCAGACTTCTCATGCTAAATTAGAGAATGAGGCATTGGATATTCTTGTTAAGTATTACAAAGGTGGTGATAAGATTAAAATCTTCAAATTGTAGATGTTGTGAAGACAATATGAATTACTGTAGATGGGAGAAAAAGAAAAGATTACAGGTTATGTTTTAAAGGTGCAGAAACTTGTTCATCTCATGAAAGGTTGTGGTGAAGCCCTAACTGATAAGGTTTTGGTGAAACTCTCACTTTGATCACGTTATTCTTACTATTCAAGAATCCAGCAATCTTAAAACATTGAAATTGAAAGATTTGGTTGGTTCATTGGAGGCACATGAGATGAGGATTGTCGAAAGGAAATGTGTTCAAGATTCGATACAATCTCTACAGGCTCAGACATGGAAGAAACATGGTGGTTCCAACAAGTTCAAAGGAAAAGGAAATGAGACTCGGGGTAAGAAATCTTGGTCGAACCCTAAAAAATATAAGTTTAATGATGGGGTTTATGAATCCTCGAAAAGAGGAGAGGGAAACTCCTATCAGAAAGACAAAGAAGATAAAAAAAAGGTATGCAATGTTATAACTATGAAAAATGGGGTCACTTGGCCAAGAATTGTTGGTACAAGAAAGGCAAGAATGAAGGAGCAAACCTTGCACGCCAATCAATTGAGGTATGGCCACTTGAATTTTAGGTCACTCAATAAATTGATTTCTCAAGATATGGTAACTAGTATACCAAGTCTTGAGATGTTCTACAAACTCTATGAAGGTTACTTAGTAGGGAAGCAATCCAAAAAGTATTTTGTTTTAACTATGCCATTGAGGTTCTCTTGCATACTAGAAGTAGTATATTCAAATGTATTTGGCCTGTTTGAGGATCATACCATTTGTGGAAAACATATAGTTTGTCTCATTTGTCGATGAATGTAGTCGAAAGATTTATATATATGTGATCAAGCGAAAGGACAGAGTATTTGAAATCTTTAAGAGATTCAAGATGCTTGTTGAAATCCAGAGTGAAAAGAATATCAAGGTTCTGTGAACAGATGGAGGTGGAAAATACACATCCAAGATATTTGAGGAGTTATATGTAAAACATGGTATTGATCATGAGGTAACGGTTCATTACACGCCTCATCATAATAGAATAGCAGAAAGAAGAAACAAGACCATATTAGATATGGTGAGATGCATGATGAAGCATAAGAACTTGCCAAAGTATTTATAGGGTGAAGCTCTCACAACAACTGTTTATATTATGAACATGTGCTCTACCAAGAAGCTGAAGAACAAGGTTCCTGAAGAAGTATAGAGTGGAAAATGACCATCAGTGAGTCATCTGAAGGTGTTTGGCTCCATTTTCTGTAAGCATATTCTTGATGCTAGGAGAAGGAAGCCTGATGATAAGAGTGAACCTATAATTATTATAGGATATCATAAGACTGGAACATATAGGCTATTCAATCCAATGAACAATAAGATCATGAAGAGTTGAGACATTGTGATTAATGAGAACTCTACGTGGGATTGGAATTCATGTGATGCAACTAACAAGCCATTGATGAGCTATGTAGTTGATGAAGAAAGTAGTGAGCATGAAAAATTCCAATTAATGACACTCTAGCAACAGTCAAAGTAGAAGATAATAATAGAGTTGAAGTCGAAGTAGATAATAGAGTGAGTGTGGCTATCACAAGCCAAAGACTTTAAAGAACCAGAGTACTTCTAGCAAGGCTTCAAGACTGTGATCTAGTCAATGATGATGAATTCACACCAGATGGAGATTTGGTTCATTTTGCTTTGTTTGTAGGTGTTAAACCAATCCACTGTAGTGAGGCCTTCAAAGATAAATAATGGAAAGAAGCTATGGTCTAAGAGTTACAAACATTTGTGACTAAAAAATCAAATATTTCATCACATTTTGTAATATCAAAAGTATAAGTTCTAGTGGAAAACTTATCGTTTTTGCTGGTCTCGAAAGGGTTTTTCCCATTCGATGGTTTCAGTAATTTACTTATATAAGGGGCCTAGCTTAAGTTCAGCCACGTTGAACCCGCCTTCTTCAAAGCAATCATTGCCTACATGAGAGATATAATCCTCTGCTTCTATATAAGTGACTTTTTCCTTTTTATGGTATTTATTTGTTCTAGCTTTTTCAAATTTTAAGCGCTTGACTTGGCGAACCCTATCTGCCAATTGTGCCATGTCCCTAAGGTATTGGGTATTTAATTTCTTCCTAATTGAATAGTCTAGGCCACCAGTATCCATTTCGACT